CTCCCCGGCCGGGAGGGCAGGCCCCAGACGGGGTGGGGGTGCAGGCGAGGAGCGGGGCGTGAATGCGCGTGGAGCGCTCTGCGCCACGGAGCTCAGGGCAGAGACTAGTAGCTTCCCCCGCGCTGGATGCGAGTCTCCCAGGTTAGAGCCCAGAAGCGCGCTGGGACCTGGGTCTGGCTTTAGGGTCTGTGTCCTTCCTCGTTTGGCCCCAGTTGTCCGCATTCAAGATCATCATAAAAAGATTTAGGAAGTAAACGTCTTGGACGCGGAAGGGCCGGCTCGCAGGTTTCCGCCGGGTGAGGGGGCTGCGGGCGGTGCGGGCATCCAGGGCCCGGCACCATATGCCGCCCTCAGTCCTCGCGGCTCCTGTCGCTGGGCTCGCCCGGCACCTCCGCTGGTTTCTCCGCATCCTTGACGCGCTCCTGCTCGGTGAGCTGCTCACTCGTTGGAATTGAGTTCTTCTTGGGCCGCCCCTTGGGCTTGGTGGGAGACTCCAGGCCGCCGCCCTGCAGCACCTGCACGGGGGACCGCCAGCACCTGGGTGAGCCAGGACGTAGACTGGGGATCCCCGAGGAGACCTGCACCCAGGTGGGACTAGGGAGTACAGGAAACCATATGAGGAAATGGTGGGGAAATGTCCCGGGAAATGGCGGCTATTTGTCCAAATGCCGCTGGGGAGCGGCCTGGCCTGGAGAGCATAAGACTGCCAGGAGGCCTGAAGGTGCCGCGAGAGAGGAAGAAATGTCGGCTTAGCCAGGCACCCAAGGGGCAGAAAGAGCTGAGAGAGTCCCGGTGGGTACCAGGCACCGAGGGAATGGGGAGGTTGGGCAGAGTCTCTGCGGGGAGAAGGAGGAGAGTAGCTCTGCATGGCACCGGAGCATGGCCCAGGAAGCCGAGGGGCGGGAAGCCACCAGGCACACTCACTATTTTCTTCCACTTCATCCTCCGATTCTGGTACCACGTCTTCACCTGCAACTGGCTCAGGCCCAGGGATTCAGCAAGATCTATTCTGGAAAGAGCAGGGCGCACCCTCAGCAAGGCAAGTGATCACACTCCCACAGCCCGCTGGCCCCAGCCTTGCCCCGTCCTACCTGTCCGGCGTGGAAAGGTACTTCTGCTTCTCAAAGCGTTTCTCCAGGCCCATCAGCTGCAGCTCGGTGAACACAGTGCGGCTCCGACGCCCCTTCTTGGCCTTGGTGCCTGGCTCCCCAGGGCCTGCCGCCTCCAGCTTCCCGCGGAGCTGCAACTCGAGTGGCAGGTGTGGTGCACCCG